GGTGGTTTAGTCTTCCTTTCTATCCACTGGCCTCATTTACTGTTGCTTCCCTTTTGCCAACAGCAGTGTTCATTTATGGTGAGCCAGATTAGAGCATTGATCCAGCTGAAAAATAACTCACATGATTTTGCCCTACTTAGGTTCTTCCTATATACTGCAGTTTTGCTGAAATTATATTGTTATTACTGCACGACTCTTAGAGACTAATCAACTTAGCCAAAGTATATATAAGTTGCTAACCTGTGTAATTCACAGCATCAATAGATTATTCCTTGCTGAAAATGTCATGACTAGTGCAGGACAAACTTCTCTTTCTAGTATTTATTGAAGGAAGATACAGGAAACTAGCAGTCCAAGATTCCAGTACTTTTTCAGTTTTCCACAAGTCTGGGACACTGTAATCCCTTAACACTTTTTCTTACGGATGTAGAACTTTGGTGTATCTAAGGAGTTTAAAGAGAATTTGACACTACATGGTCCTTTCTGTGCTAACATTGCTATAGGAAAACCCACTATAACGTAAAAGAAGCTATGAATTTTTGCAATAGAACACAAGAGTGCATTCATGTAATAGTGTATTCTGGCACATTTATTGCCTGCTGGATAGAGGCAAAATTGTAACAGTGCAGAGCATTAAGATCCCTATTGTTTAAATAAATCTCAATAGGATTAACAGTTTAGGTGTTCTACCTGTCTCAGCTTTGGGAGTCATTCTTTTGGGATCCTGCATATAGCTCCTGGTTCTATATAAAATACTGCATGGAAAGTGGAAGATAGATAAAATTAAATATTTAGACTAAGTAGAGTGTGAAAGTTACTTTAATCTGGGAACCAACTTGGGATAGGAGATTCCAGTGAACAGAATTTGGTCTAAATTGCTAATTTAGTAATTACTAGATAATGGCTTGTTTCTTAGTTATTTCAACCTAACTTAAAGGACAGCTAGGAATAGCAGAGACACCAAGTTTCTGTACCTTTCCTAAAGTCACAGAATCACTCAGATTGGAGGGGATCCTCAGGTCTTTGGTCTAACCTCCTTCTTTAAGCAGAGTCAACAATAAATTCAAAACAGCTTACTCAGAGCTTTTTCCAGTCAGATTTTGAAAACCTCCAAGGACAGAGACACTCCACAGCCTCTCTGAGCATCCTATCCCAATGCTTAGTTATCCTTATAGTTCAGTATTAGTCACACACTTGATTATTGTGCATGCCTTTTCCTCCTGCAGGTCGTTGGTAAATATATTAAGATATTAAATAGGAGAGGTCTCAGGATAAACTCCTGAGAAACAGCAGTTGTATCCAGCCTACAGGTAGAATACAAACCATTACTTTTCAATCCCAGAATCTAGACACTTTTTGCTCATCTGGTAGTGCATCCATCTAGACTACATTGGCTGAACTTGGATACAAGAGTTCTGTGAAAGACCATCTTGAAGATGTTTGCAACATTTGCCCTTCTCCATCTATCTGGGACTTCCCCTGATCTCCATGACCATGATGATAGAAAACAACCTTCCTGTGCCATCAGCCAGCTCTCTCAGCACTCTCAGGTGCATCCTGTCTGCTCTCATGGACTTACATGAGTCAAGACTTCTCAAGAGATCTCCAGGTAGGAGAGAGAGACTCAGATCAGTGTTGCCAGCAAGGAGGCTGCCACGCAACTGGAAAGTTACCTGTTCTGCTTGGCCAGCAGGCCCTCTGGCAGTCATTCAGCATATAGAGCCTGAAATCAGACACAGCATCATCCAGTTGAAGGTTATGAAGAGGAGATGGAAAGCAATGGGGAAGAGTTTAGGAAAGATATCAGTAGCCATGCTGCTCATTTTCAAATTTGATGTAATGAACACAAAGCGCGGATATGGAGTAGTAAAGTAAGTGTTCAGGATATATTTTTGTCCAAAATAATACAAGAAACTGGTCAAAAGGCCTATTCCTTTGCATTTGGCTAAAAATTGAGAGGGTTTTTTATGTTGCTTTTATAATACTCTACAAACAAGTTATTTGAGAGTGAAATTTTCAGACAAGGAACTTGAAGTGAAGGCAGAAATCTGTTCATTACTTGCCCTCTTGTGCCCAGGTATTTTAACATCTGGAATGTAATGCTGCCTGTCGTAATACCTCTGCAATACTGTAACACAGCAGGATGCACTAATGAGAGTTTCAACCTTAAACCCACAACATCAATGAAATTTATGGTTGTCAGGCCACTGACATTAGTCAAACATAGATTTTGTGGTTTCAATTCCCATTTTACATTCATGTAGGAAGAAAAGTCATTGCGTTGACTAGCCGTGAAGACAGAGTCCTCCTTAAACTTGAAATTTCTCTAAAACAATTAAGTGTGTTTTATTACTCTTGACAGCATTCTTAGTATGCACTACAGGGGGGAGGGCATTTGTATAAAAAATGTGCTAGAATCTCTCTCTTTCATATTTCAGATTATTTAGTAGTCTTAAATACCAAAAGTGCCTTGCTCGTGTTTTGGAAAATACCACAAAAATGTTCAAAGTGGAAAAGAAGAACTTATATAAAACTTTAGTATCATCTCCTACAATCATATAGGTGCCATCTGATATTCTTCCTGATGGCTAAATTTCTCTTCAGATCTTTCATGTTTCCCTACTCTTCTGTCTCAGTGTCATCTTTTGACTCAATATATAGAGTGACTTATTTAAAGTGCACAAAAAAGAAGATAATTTTTTGAAGGAAAACATTTTTTGGGAAAACGTGGTAAGCACTGGGGTGAAGTCACTCTGCAGAAAAGTGAAATTGTTCAATCTGCAATTCATTAAGTTGAAAGAAAAGAAGGGAAGTCAATATGTAAAAAAGTGCACGTACAGTTACTCTTTTTGGTAAGGAAAATCCAAGTTGCTTCTTACAGAAATAAAACTAAGAAACATACACAATTTTCAAAGCTCTGAAGTCTGGGTGGGCAGTTGTGTGGAGCTTTTTATTATCATAGGCTTCATGGCAATTCCAGCACAATCTCAGGAAGCAGTAAAAATAAATCTATCTGTCTCTTGCTGTATCAGTCTGGGTATTAACAACTTCCCCATGTTGTGTCCATTAAAAAATTTCTTCATGGCCCTTGAAAGTACAAACTGGGTTTCTGCGTTTAATATGTTGTTACCTGCTGCCAAGCCTCTTAATAGCTACGTTCATATGTTCTGTTAATCATATCTCTTTGTTCTAAAAGCCTGTGTTTTGGATTCATAATTAACTTCTTTTCCTGCTCCGATCATTTTCCTTCCATCATGGCAGCACATGACCTTTTTTTTGCCTATTTAAAAAGTTACGTGAATGGAGAAGTAACAGAAGTCAATGTATTTCGACAAAGCCTGTAATCTCTTCCTAACTGTACTTTCAAATTTAAATTAGGTTTTCATGTTGCAAACCAGGACCTTGGTGTTGTAACTGAAATCATGCTGTTCTCAGACAGCAGGGCTGAAGACTCATGAGCTACAGAGGATTTTCCCCTAGGTCCCAGCATAAGAAGTATAATTTTAAGGTTTAAGGTTGGTAGTAGATAGGTGAGCGTGGTCTCAGTGTGAAATAGGATCCAAAGAAAGAATTATTGAGCTATATTTCATGCGAACTGGAAGGGGACCTGCAAAGGGATGTTCTGGCTATTGCTCCTTGTCAGTGTCTCACTGATTCAGGAATAGCGTGGGAAAACTTTATGAAGCCTGTGATGGCTTCTATCAGTATTGCTTCAAGTATTTCTAATTAGGAAAGGCATTTGTGGTCCAGAATTCACTTGGGCTCTCCAGTAATCTCCCATTTTTTATCATCATGAAAGCAAGTCAGCCATTTGAAAGATACTGAAACCTTGGGATCCTGCTTGCATTTTGCTACTGATACAGCCCCAAGAGTTACTGAAGCCTGGTTTTTCATCCTGTGAAGAAGGAGGAATGGATAATTCCTTAGCTGGTCACCTGCCTAAAGATACGCATCTAGGGGCAATGCTTCTGCTTGCATGTGGTCCCTGCTGCCCTTGGATACTTGCTTGATTGCAGAACTTGGAACGCCTTTCATATATATCTGGAAATTCAGAGGAAATCATTTTAGATGGTACTGTTCTGATTTGGACTGCACTTATCTCCAAGACAAGATTACTTTCATAGGAGTGAAGAACATGCCCATGTTAGAAGTCGATTTGTAGGCTGTATATGGCTTTCTGGGCTTGCCTTGCTGGCAACTTTTTGAATATCTGTTTTATCTGTTAAATAACTCATCCTGAAAATGTGAAATGGAGGAGGATCATATCATAGTACAGTTGAGATCTGTTTTAAAGTGGCTTGAACTAAATTCTCACAGTAGGGTTTTTTCCTTCTTTTTTTAAGTCTAGCATTGACTCATTTGGTGGTGTTAAAGTGCACTTTCTACTTTTCCCTAGAGGAAAGCTAGTATTCTTTTAAGTGAAACTATTTTAAAAGCAGAACACAAGCCTAAAATAAGCCAGTGTTCTCTAGAGTTCTCAGAAGGTGTAGATTTATTTACTGTAGTTAAATCATAATTAGTTCTCAGGGGATAGTGTATCTTTTAAACTGCTTTATTGCCACCATATTGGTTTTCTAAATAATCAGAAACTGCTGCTCTTATATTCTGTAGTATGAACAAAAATTTGCTTTAAGTAGAAACAAATGTCTAGAATTGCTAGTTGTCACTTACTGAAGATAGTGACATGCAAAAAAATAAGCACTTCAAGAAAACATGAAGAAATACAAAACTTATGTTATCAGAAGGCACCTTAAATGAACCATGGGTATAACTTTTTCTAGACTAATAGATATAGTTGTGTTTTACATTATTATTTTTCAGTTAATCTTTTTTTAATATTCTAATGCTTTCTGGTCATGAATAAATGTTAACTGAAAAATGGATAAATGGTAGTGCAATGTTAACATAAAATATTACCTGATATTTAAGCCTAGATTTTAATGAATGTAGCTTAGTGTTCCAGCTGATAAGCATGGGGTTTTTTTTTTCCTAATTGGCAGGTTAATGTTCGAGTTGCCTGAGGAGATGGGTTTAATAGCAATTGCTGTTCGACAAACACAAGGGAAAGGTAAGTTTGCATCTAATGCTAATAAATGTGTATTAAAGTATTAAATAGGACATTTTAATGTCACCTAGCTGCCTTAAGGATACATTATGGGTGTTTTTTATATTGTAGTCTATAGAATAATTGTGTCCTCTTCTCCTCCTGCTGAGCTGTGGATTCAAACTCAAAACCTAAGTCAGTAGAGACCAAAATAAACATTTTCAGGATGTTTGGTGGCTTTTGCAGAAATGATTTAGTGGTCTTCTAGTTTCTGCCAAAAGGCTCCCCAGTCTTGGAAACTGCCATCACTACATTTAGTGTAATACAAATCAGACCTCCAAATCAGAACTCCTTTTTGACTTAACTGGAACAAGACTGGGTCTTGATTTGCTCTGAGATAGAGTTTTCCTCTGAGATACAGAGTTTTTCTCAGTCTGCAGGACCTGCCTGAACTCTCATGTGGGCTTTCACAATCTTTTGAAGATAAAATACAAGCAAGTTCTGTCTCTTTCCCAGGAAGGTGCGAGCACTGATTTCAAAGCTGCATTCATTCTATTAGAAGAAAACCGTGGCCAGCCTAGTAAGCTCTTCTGAGCACAGATCTACATGCAGATGGTTACTTGACTTTTGGTTCAGATCTAACGTGTCCAGTTGCTTCACAATGTGGATGGATTTCTAGATGCACACAGAGCATCTTTACAAATACTTCTTCACTTCAGCAAAGCAGTATTTTTTAAAATGTGTATGTCACTGGGCACCAGGAGAACCTGGAAGCACATAATTTAGGACATTCTAGGAATCTGAGCAGTACTATGCACATTAAACAACCTGCTGGGTTTTTTTAAATAAAAAGCTGTGCATTTTAACGATTTGTCTTTCAAAATTAGTTTGGAAACTTCATTATAGGACTTATGGTAGACTCTTGGGTGGATACTACTGAATCTTTCTCTTTTGTAGTTGTCTACATTAACAAAGTGATCTTTTTTATAAATATTTTTTTCTTTACTTGAAGTTAATTTTTTTTCTCCCCTTCCCCAGGTCGTGGTGGAAATGTTTGGCTCAGTCCCCTGGGTTGTGCACTATCCACTTTACATATCACCATTCCTCTACATTCCAACCTGGGCCAGAGAATTCCTTTTGTTCAACACCTGGTGTCCTTGGCAGTGGTAGAGTCAGTTAGATCAATACCAGGATACGAGGTATGTCATTCTAATTTATCTCAAAATTCATGCTTCCATTTTCATGAATTTCAAATTTTGACTATGTCTTCTATGTGTAAAATGACTGGATGCATGATACAGTTCTTCAGCAGAAATATAGTGGTAAACTTAGCCATTGTGCATGTTTGATTATTTATTTTAAGAAATCTAGTGTGTATATATATATATATGATGAATAATGTCTTTTACTGAGCTTATTAAGTATACTACACTAGTTTCACTCATAATCTTGTGAAACGTAAGACTCAGTCTTCATCAATAAAGAAAATGTCCATTTTGTTTGTCTCACAATTAAGTTACTTTGTTTTCATTCTGAAGGAGTAGGGGAGGAAGGAGGAAAGAAAAATAAATAAAACTGACAAATCCTTTTCTGCTTTTTTTGTTGGTGCTGTTTCAGTGGTCACTTTATCCCTTTTAAAGGATTTTTCCAACCCTTGTTTAAGGTTGAAAACTGATTTCTAAAGCAAGAACTTAGGAGTATTGCTCTCAAGAGGGAATCAAGTGTCCTGTCATCAGTATTAAAATGAAGAAGCAGTCTTCTTCATCACCTCATAGATCTCCTTTTTAATGTTACCATTTCCTAATATTTGCTAACTATAAAACGTTGGTATTTTACAGAAGTAGTTGACTGAAGCATATGTTTCCTATATTACAGAAAATCAATGACTTATACACATTTACACATGAAGTTTATTATAGTGGCACCCAGTAGCTTTGCTGTAGCTTAGGGTCTGTCAGCCTTTCTATTAAAACCTTCTAACTTCAGTGCTTCATAACGTGACTATAAACCCAGAATGCTTAAGGCTAAAATTTGCAATATAAAATATTTGGCTAGAGTGAATAGTTTAACCATACAAAATAGAAGGGATGAGTTAGTTTAATAAAATATGAGTCTGACTGGGGAAGGAGTTAATTTGGGAATGGAGGTGGTTTTTCTTCTGTATGCCTACCCTGGTATATTGTGGCATTCTTTATTTTGTTCCATTCAAAAGGGAAAAGGTGACTGTAGTCCTAAATGTTAATATAAACCCAGGATGTATCAATAATACATGTACTGTACACAGCACATGTACAGTTCATAGCTTGCTATGACCAAGAAGAAACTACTGAACCTCTCTGATAGTGCATCCACCCTAGACAATGGGTGAAACCAATGTTAAGGGTTTGGACTGAACTACGTTAGAGCAAGGAAACGGGAAGCTTTATCAGAAACTCTTTGCTTAAGTTTCCCCTTTAGTCTTTGGTAATGCAGGACTTTTCTTTGTCAGGTGAACATCCAGGCCATGCAAACTGCAGCAGCTGCAAACATTGGGCTAATCTGTAGATGAAGTTTCATTCTCTCCTCCAAATTTCAATACCTATGTCAGAATATTAATCATACTTTAACATACTGTAATGTCTTTCACTATGCTCAAAGTCCGTTTCAGGATTTGTGTTAAAAAATCAGAAACACCCAAGTCTGTTTATCAGCCAGTCATCCTTCTTAGGATTGCCAGGAATGTTGACTGTGGTAAACAGCCAGCAACTGAGGCCTTTGTTCAGGGGCCTGCTGGGGATAATCTGACTGCTCAGTTGGAAGTTTTACTGTGAGATGTTAGTGCGGCAAATACAAATGGGCCTCATATCAAGAGGATGCTTTACTTTTCCATTCACTCTGTAGTAAGAGAAGATAAGACTGTGCTTCTTTTCCAGCATCTTTTGTTACCCCCATTGTGTCTTTGGCATGTGGATAGTTGAGCAGTACCTTGTAACTACATTTTGTGGCAAAGTCTCTGCTGTGTAGTGTACATCCTGAGAATACCCAGCTGACTTGGTTGCTCTTCATGCTTGCTGTCACTGCAGTTGCAGAGCTAGTGCCTGGTGTCTTACAGTTGTGTGTCTTCCTTAAGTAAGATCTACTGAATGGCTCTTTGGAAAATCTCTTAACACTGATAATACTTTGCAACTGTGTCATACTTCACATATCTCAGGAGTGTTCTGTAAATCTTTTCTCAGTGCGAAGAGTCAAGTTGTTTTCCATAATGAATACGAATTGGTGATCCTCTTCCTTAGAATGCTTTGATAGCAAAATCAGGTAGTATTTCCTGTCAATGTATGTGTAATGGACTCCTCTCTGGCCTTTAAATCTGTCAGGAAAGTAGACATGGACCCAGCTGCAGTTTTCACACATCCTGTAAAGGGATTTCATAATCTACAATAGGAGGGAATGTGACTCTTGTAGTCCTGGAGCACCTACCATAATTTGCCCCTGGGGATACAGTCATATGCAGTTTTTCAAACTACAGGAAGCACATTTGCTTTCTTTTTGTGTTTAAGTAGCTGGTGCAAAGTTCAGTTCAGTTCTGTGGTTTCAACAAAAACGTCTCTATTGCGCTGGAACGGTGTCACACAGCACAGTTTGTGTTTCCAGCTCCGTGGTGTTGCTTGAGTGTAGCTGCTGAAAGCGTGAATATATTTAGGACATTACTGAAGTATTTACATAGTTGTGAACTGGAATTTCTCCTGTCTGCTAAATTTCCTTTCTGAAATTCAAGATGTCATTGTCTCCTTGTCTGGTTTCTGCAAAAAATCTCAGCTACAGCGCTGACGTTATTGTGGGCTTACCCGGATTGTTTATCAGCAGTGAGCCGCAGTGGTGGCCACGGTTTGCATCTTTCTTGAAAAGATCTTTTGAATCTCTAGTAGGCAGTCATGAATGAAGAAAATGAATTATACAATAATATAATTACAGTTTTGAGAGTGAAAATCTTTAGTATCCGTAGTCCCCCCTTTTGGTCACCCTCAGTCTTTATTATCTCATCTGCTCATTTTGGTTTTCTTAGTAAATAGACACGTTTAGTGTCTTAGTGAACCGACAACTTCCAACCTCCTTGGTAAACCATGTAACCATGTTACTATGACTTTTTCACTAACGTATTTGGAGCAGTTAAACAGGTTTGAGAACCTATTTATGAAGTTGAGAGTATCACATTCAGTGCGGCAAAGGTACAGAAAATATTAAAATATAGAGTAATGAATGAGCTGTGTTCTGATAATCAGTATCAAAGAGCAAAGTGTTTCTAAAAGTATGTTTTTGTTTCTTTAGGATATTGAGCTGCGAGTAAAATGGCCAAATGATATTTACTACAGTGATCTTATGAAGCTAGGAGGAGTTCTGGTAAACTCTACGCTTGTTGAAACAACATTTCATATACTTATTGGTAAATGTCTACTTTCGAGCTTTCCTATGCTGTTTTTTTCTGAAAAAAAATTAGTTGTTATTAATGTCTTTTTGAGTTAAAATGATAAGGACAAGAATAAATAACAACAGCCGGCATAAGGAAATAAAGCACAATATTAATTCAAAAGGAAGCACAAAAAGTAAATGTTTTCATTCTTCTTAATAATTCTAAAAGCTTGACAAGGAAGGAAAAATTAAATGCAAGCATCTGGACTGGTGCAGTGGAGTTCAAAGAAAGAGCATTACAGAAGAGAGGAAAAATGTCCTCCTTGATCTATTGCAAAGCTAGTAGAATATGCTGGAAAATGTATCAATTTTTTCAGTTATCTTTTTTTTTAGCAACATGACAGATATTTAAATTAAGCACGTGCCTTGTAGATCAGGAGAAAAAGAGCAGTGCACACATAGTAATGTTCCTTCTTCCAATAGTAAAATTTCTTCTTCCATCCTTTTAAAATGTATTCATAACTTGTTTCTGTTGTTGCCTTTCTAGAAACAGGAATGTTGCTAGTGAAGCAGCAGTGAAGGAAGGATTTGATTAATTAATCAGTTTCTTTAGTTCTCTTAAAAAGTGTTTGGGAAGCGACTACAAAGTGGTTGGGAAGGGTGAGTCAGGGAATAAAGAGCAACAATGGGTTTGTTAATTGTGAAGATAAACAGTCTACCTGGAAAGCTGGTTCCAAAAAGGTGGCACAGCCAATCTCAGAAAGACTATACATGTATTTTCCAACAAGTCCCAGTGGTGTAGCAAGGGAAGTCATTTAGGTGTCCAAATATGTAGTGAGATGTTTCTATAATTTCAAGTCTGATAATCATCCTGCTATTTGTTAAGAAAGAATTTTCCCTTGACCAGCAGCAGCACAAATCTGTCAGACATGTGTAGAAAACTGCCAGCAGAGCTTTAGGTTCTGGTTCCAAAAATAATTCTCTCTGCTATGTCTAAAATATTGAATCAAAGTTTCTTACCAAGTTTAAAGAAGAAGTTTATATTTGAATGTAGCACAGGAGATAACAGTCTTGCAAAGAGAGTGTGTGCATGATATCATTTCTATCCAGATGATGTAAATTTTAAAGTGCAAACAAGCAAAACAGTTGAAGCAGTCATCACCACCTTCTGTGAAACATGCCCAGCCATTAAATTTTCTGTTCAATTGTTATATCGTCATTTTGTAAATAATCTACATGTAAAGAATAGAAGTTGCACTGAGGCACATAAAAATTCTCTGTGCCCCATCAACCATTTACTGCTTCCACATGTTTTTCCAGAGCTTGTTCTGGTTAACACAAGAAAAGCAAAAATAGCTCAAAAAATAGTTCATCTTATCAAATATCTCTTTGCACATTACATCTGTCTTTTGGACCTTGTGTTTCTTACCCTAAACACCAAAACATTCTCATTCAACTGGAAGATTTCTGTATGTATTTCCTCTGATATCCATAGGAGTTATCTTGGTGGTGAAAGGTCTGAGGTATGTATCAACTTCCTTTCACCTGGAAGCTTCTAAGATTGAAACGTACTTGCCATGTACTAGTCCAAGGGTCTTTTAATAATTTCAGTGATGTATGTCACTGAGAGGAGTAGGGGTGTCTCATGACATCTAACTTCTTGTGTTAGAAGTAGCAATGAGATCAAACTTCTACAATAGGGTAAGTAAGCCAGGTGTATCACTCCCTCTCTACGGTCATGCAGATCCCTGTCCTAGACCTCACTGTTATGGCACTCATGAAGAGTATCCCATATATGAAGGCAAGAATCAAAATCAAAGGTGATCTGCCTGGGTTCACTGCTCTGAGAAGTACCTCAGAAGAATAAGGTGAAATACAAACCTGCCTTTCCACCTGTAATGTGTGCTCAAGGCCTAACAGATGACACAACTTCTTTCCTCTTTTAAGCATACTTAACTTTAAACACGTTTCTAAAAAACCATGGGTTTTTTGAGTTACTAAGTCGTAACCTCCATACGTAGGTGCCTGAGTGCCCTGAGCCTACAGAGCTCCAAGGTTCCATTACGCATCCTGACAGTAGCAAACGCAGCTTGATGACCATGGTCACTCGCTCTCTTCACTTGCACCATATTTGAGTGTAACCAACTGAGTTGGGATTTGCTGGCATGGCATGTTAGGTTTTCCAGTTTGTTTTCCTTTGTCGCTTTCTGATAATAAATTTCTCCTTACTTCCATAGGGTATGGGACTGTGACTTTCTTTGCTTGCATTCTCATGCCATTTAAAAATCAAAAAGTCCTTTTCACTGAAGAGATCCTTCTTCTCATAGTTAATACTCATTCCTTTCATATATGAATAGTCTCATTAATAGCAAATTTGCCAAATTTGGACCTTCTTGCAGAAGGAGGTATATCATGTCTAAACCTGATTGACAGCCAGGGGTTTTATCCTAGAAGTCTAAGGAAAGAAAAATTCAAATGATTAGGAGAAAAAAATAAACAGGTAATGCAATGTATTTCTTTACATCCCTCGAAGCCTGTTTCAGCAGGCTGCAAAAAAGGCCCCAAGAGCCATATTTAAATAAGAAAGGCGTTTTGCCAACATTATTCTAGCTGGAAGAATCTCAGCAAGGGACTGGGGGCTTCTAAAGGGTACGCTGTGGTAAGATAGATTAAGCAAACTGGAGTCTCACACAGCAAAGTTACATCTTCTGGGCTTTTCAGAGCAAGCCAGACAAGGCTTATCAGCTGAGAAAAAAAAGCTTAATTTTCAGAGAATACAATCAGCTAACTGTAGTAAACAGAAAGGTCTGTTAATTAAATTTTAGAGTGAAAGATAAAACCCCATCTTAGACTATGATCAGTGATTGACTCTCAATTAGCTAATGACCTCAGGAATCAGTTTTACTCCTCAAGGAGTAGAAGAATATCTCACTTTGATGTTATTGCAACCAACGTGCAAGTTACCACTTATCATCTTCCTAACCCTCGTTGACAGGATGGTGTGTTGTTGGCAAACTGCACTGGATTTACTTCTGCAATTGTGAGGAGGCATTTTAAAGTCAAGAAACATAAGATCCAGACTGAGATTTTTAGTTAAATGGGAAGATTTAAAGATGTAACAGACTGCAGAAAAATAGCTACTGGAATCATCCTTAGAGAGAATTGCATCAAGTAGTTAAGTAAAGTACTGACCTTCTGGTGGTAACAAAGTGTTCAGATTTACAGGTCGTGTCCTTTTCTTTTGGTTTGTCTCCTTCAGGCTTTGGATTTAATGTGAATAACAGCAACCCCACCATATGCATCAATGATCTCATCACAAAATTTAATAAGGAAGAGGGGACGGAGCTGAAGCCTTTAACTCCAGACTGTCTTATTGCAAGAACTGTAACTGTGCTAGAGAGGCTTATAGATATTTTCCAGGAGAAAGGGCCCAATGGAGTTCTTCCCCGTTATTATAAGTACTGGGTTCACAGGTAAGAAGAATGTTCTTAAACTTTCTTTTAGATTGGAAAGAACTCATGGATCTTCTGTCTTTTTCTGCTTTTTCTACTAGATTGCCTTTAATACCAGGGGCTTAATTAAAATGTCCTTATTTTGTATTTTTTTGGGAGAGGGAATAAAAATAGCACGTAGTAAAATCAATGGACTAGCATGAGTTAAAGAATGTTTCTAGGTAGTTCATGTGTGCCATCTTAAAAGAAAAGAATTGGGAATTATTTGTTTAGCTAGTGATGAAGCTGCTGTACTGATGTCTTTTATTAAAAAATAGACTGTTTGGGTTAACTCCAACTCTGCTAATTTCCAAGAAAGAAACTGAACCAAGTAGAAGTGCTGTTGAAAATCATTCTCTGTAAAGGACGAGTGAAGAGGGAAATAAAACTATTCGGCTAGACATTAGAGTCCTCTGAGCTATTTTGAGTTGTTAGGGCAGCATCCACCAAGTAATTCCTGTCTGGTTCTCTTTATTTGCAGTGGGAAGCAAGTTCGTCTCCACAGCGAGGAGGGCCCGATTGCATGGATAGTTGGGATAGATGATTACGGATTCCTTCAAGTTCATGAAGAAGGCAAAGGTGTAGAGTCTGTACACCCAGATGGCAACTCTTTCGACATGCTGAGAAACCTCATAGTCCCAAAGCATCAATAGTTCTCAGAGCTCACTGTAAAAAAGGGAGGCTTTTGACTGGTACAGAGTAGCTAAACATGCCTAAAAGTGGGAAGGGTAGTTGATAGCTTGATTTATTTTTATTTCTTCTGATTTTCTGGTATCTTTGTTGTTTGATGTGGACAACTTCAAAGGTTGAGAAGAGGTAATTTTCTCATTGCCTTTATTCTTTCATATTAACTTCAAAACACACACATTTTGCCATTCTTTGTAGGCATTTATTCTTTAAAAGGAGCCTGTTTGCACAGGATTACTTTCCAATGAACAGAACTTTCTCTTAATTTACAAACTGTATTTGAGAAACTGAAATGGCTAAATATTTTCTTTTCATATCTCTGTGTTTTTATTGTGCATTAGCACAATGCAGTACAATATTTACATGTTTAGTATGGTTTTTGACACTAAATTCTGGTTTACATGTTGTCTGAGGTGGAAACAGCTGGAAAAGCTCATCATATATTTTGGGATTATTGGGATTACCACTGTGTTTAGATTCAGGTCTAAGGAGAAAGTTGCTGATTTGGTTCTCCATGTATGCTTGTACAATAGTTTACCATCCCGTGCTTTGGTCTCAGGTCTGCAGCTCCATCATGGCTGCCTTGAGTTTTTTGGGGAGTTTTCCATCAGCACTGAAGAGCTGTGGGTGCTTATCCAAATTGCTTGTACTCTGCTCATTTTAGTCAATTGGATCTGAGTAAATTGTCTCATATCTCCTTCGAATCATAATCTTCCAAGAGGCCTTTAGCACCCGTCAGGTTAGCCCCCCGGAGCAGTGTGTCACCTACTTGCAATTCTCTTCTTCAGTTTATTGTAGAATCCCATGTCAGGACAGGGAAGTCTGAATAGTTTATAATTTAATAGTAATTCTATTGTAATAATAATGAAGTTAAGTGAATAAATACGAGAAAAATGCTCCGCTCTTAAAATCCCTTCCAGAAACAGCTGCTACAGTGAAAAAGAGAAAACACCTAGCTTACCTGTGTCCAAATTGTCTTTGGACAATTGTCTTCGATGGTTTTTGCTGTCACGCCCTTTCCCAAAGCAGGGCATCTGGTTTTGCTGCTAACCACCAAAAGCAAGAGATTAGACATCTGCTCACCTGACAGGAGGTTGCTCTGGGGCTGGCTGCACAGTTCCAGCTTAGGTGGGACAGCTTGATCATGACTGGAAAGCAGAGTGAAGCAGGCATGTGGGAGCCTCTGTGTGTTGCAGCTTGTCAGGTTTTTCTCCTGGGGAAGGTGAATTTGCACCAGGAGGCTCGGCCACCACAGCACTTTCAGCAGTTCCCTGCAGATAGAGATTTTGTCATAGGTGCAATGTGACCAGCTTAATTTCCTGGAGTAGGCATCACTGCTTATTGCGTTACCTTGTCCTTACTGAAGGTGGATCTGCCAAATGTGTTTTCACAAAGGACATCTGCCTACTAGCCAGAAATGGTTTTTTTTTAGGTTAGACTTCACCTCATAAACTATCTGAACATGTTAGTAGATTGTTTCAGTTACAAAGCCAAGAAGTCTTAAATCAAGGAAGCTTGTCTGTGATGGTAATTTAGAGTAATCCTCACATATTAGAGTTTAGGTGGTTTGGCAGCAAGTGCTAGAAATTAAGCTGTCCCTATTACATTTAGAATTTTATGTTCCATATCACAGGGGATTTGGGTGTGTGTGTCTGCTTGTCCATCCTCTGTTCTGTTTTGCTCCATAATCCACATCACATGAGACTGCACACCAGTATTTCATAGAACTGTACAGTGCAGTGTAGACAGCTGTTAATTGGCAGAGTTAAAATGATACACAAGAACACCAGTTTTTGCTTTTTCTCACCAGATGCTTTCTAGAACTGCTTTGGGCTCTTAATTCTTGGCAGCTACCTTTATTTCAGAATCAAATATTAGTGCATATTATAATCAAATTAAACTTGAGCAGCAGTTAATAGAGTTTAAGTAAAAAGAAGATCTCATTTATATACACACCTGTAAAAACCTGTGTGTGCCTACACAACACTCACATCTTCCTTTTGCATTTTCACTTCTTCTCTGCCTTTTCCTGCAAGCAGCTTATGAGCTTCTGCAGATCAGCCATGGAAAGCATAGCTTTGGTACTGCTTTTCTGACCACAGAGTTTTACAAAACTTTAGATCTGTACCCCAATCCAATATTTGTAGCTGAAATACTCTCACTGGTTTGGTACTGTAGATGTGCCTGTAGAAAGCACCTTGGATTTTCCTCATATTATAGGTAGAGTGATGAGTGCCTGTAGAGGTTTACCAACCAGGTCATGCATCAGATTGTGACTTGAATTTCTTTGTTAAAACACACTCTGCCTGCTCGAGGGACAGATACTGTAAAAGGAAGACGGGGGAAAATGGCAAAACATGTTCCTGTGTGAAGGGTAGAATGGACCTGCAGACCTTGAGTCAGCCACACTACCAGAGTCTGAGCGGCAGGCAGAGGGGGTTTTTTTGATAGTAAAATGCAGCAATATTTCCTAGTTGCTGTTGTTCCATTTGGTTTTCTTGAGAGCCTTTTTAATGAAATGCTTGTTCTATTCTGACTTAGAGTTGTAAGATTATTCTGAAAATTTTTGAACTGGAAGGAAACTTTGCATTGAACTTCTTTTCTGTGAGCAAGAACTAACCAAGCGTGGATGTGTCGAAGCTTAGGTGGGTGCTGTGGGAACATGCCACTTTGCCTGGAGTTTTTAGTGGCCTATTCTGTGCATTAAAATCTACCTTTTGTCTTGAGGAAACAACCTTGAGTTGGATGAAGTGTTTGTTGCAAACCTGACCTTTCCTTCAGAAGAACCAAGATGATTCCCATGGTATGGCGAGCAGGTC